ACGGTCCGGTTCGGTTGTGCGTACCATTTACACTCAACAGTTATCTTGGTTACCGTGATCGGACCGATATCAGCGCGGTTTAAAAGGCTAGTGGAAATGGGACAGATGATTCGGGTCTCAGTTCATCTCTACACCCTGGTTGATGGTTTCTAGCTGGGTTTACTTTTAAAACCTCTTCCTATGGACTCCAGTTTTTAATTTCTTCTATGCATTTATCCAGATCTGAATGGGTTCGTAGCAGAGCATGTGAACGGAACGCAGCGCAATTACCGCTGAGCAAATGAGGACGTTCCCTCATTTGCTCTGCCACTCAAAGTTGCAGCAGGACGCTCTTCTGCAAATCCGCTCCATTCAAAATCCGCTCCGCGCTCACTTTCATTTTCTGACATTTTTCCTTCCTGTAATGATGCCATTGCTCTGCGACACACAGCGTTTCATCTAATAATGTGACCGATACATGTGGATTGTCTCATTTAACTGGCTGTTAAATTATTGCACTGTTTCCCTGTTCTGAACGTAACTCTTCGCTCCATTGACGTTGACCCGCGTTTCCTATTTAATTATTCATTTATTTTACTAGACCACATCAAAAAAGTTGCTTTGCATCCCTTTGCAAATCAGATAATAGCGTACAGTGCATGTATGCGATCCATTGTCAAAAACAGGCTCTTACCACAACGATCACTTTACGTAAGTCCACTCTGTGTCGTTCAGTATAGTTAGTGAATGTTTTTATGATATTTTATCCCACTTTTTATCAAACTATATGCAATCCTCGCCTCGGCGTTTCCGTGGTAAAGTTGAAACATAGACTATAGCAGATCATAGGCACAGACTACAGCATAGGCATTGGCCCAGGTTTTAAACATGAATTTAAATAAAGTTGGAGCGAACTGGAGCGAAATCCTCGCTCCGGCCTGTGAATTGAACACCGCTCTGCGCTCCACCATGTTTCTTACGCTCCGCTCCACTCACATGCTCTGGTTCATAGTCACCTGGTGACATTGTAATGTACAACCGTGTTTCGCAGAAAGGGTCCTAAGATGGACCCTTGGGGAACGCCACATGCGATTTTTGTGGTCTCTGATGTAAAGTTACCTACGGACAGAAAAGTCCCTCTCCTTAAACCAGTCCTGTTCTGTCCCAGAAAGGCTCACCCAGTTTTTCTCCTGTTTCAATAAAATGGAGTCATCAACAGTGTTGAATGCTGGACTAAAGCAACGATTACGTCACCATGAGGAGATATTTGCCTAACGAAGCCTGATCAGAGTCAAACACACCTTCTTTAACCTTATTGATGGATTCAGAGACGCCGTCCAGCCTTCCACACACTCCTTCCATCTTGGACAGTCTCTTCTCCAGTCCTTCTCCGGACCTCCTACATTCCCCCATCTCTACCACCATCATGTTCTCGAAGCGCCGGAAATCCCGGTCCATCCTGTCCAGGTTTCCCAGGCTCTCCTGGATGTGTTCCGTCACCTCTTGCTGCATCTTGTCCAGCTCAGAGATGATCTTATCCTTGGTGTTTCCTGTCAGAGTTCAGAGACGGAGAGACATGAAGCTGGCGTGGAAGCTGCCGGATGAGAGCAGAGGGACGGCGTTCCTGAGCTCACCCAGGTCCGTTATGACGCTGCTATGTTTCTGCACCGTGTGTTCCAGACCCTTCAGGGTGTCGTTGATGGAGCTGAAGGCGAAGATGACCTCGGTGAGCTCGCCCTGCAGGGACTTCAGCTGGTTGTTGTTGAAGGATCCTCCGATCACGCTGTGACCATCTAAAGGCTTCTCTGCATCCAAGCTGGGGCCAAATCCACCAGAACCAGGGTCACTGGTACCAGTGGAACCATCACCTGTAGGAGACAAATACTTCCTTTCAGGTTCCAATAGGTTCATTCAGACATTTATCAACATGCCGTCAAAGTTAACATTTAGAATTAACTACAAATATTTAGAATGAATTACAGAAGTTTAGAATTGAAAAGGAATGACTAAACAACGTTTTTATGTAGCTAACATCTGGAAAAAGACCAAGGCCGTTTCTCAATTCACTAGAACGCGAGTACAGACTCGTGTTCTCGCCAAGTATGTTCTTGAGAAGAACCCAGGAAGGTCTGGACTCGGGGAGAACGGGAGCACGCAGAATAATCTGGGTAAACTGGAACAGAAGCGTACTGATGACATCACCACACGCTCAGCTCGTCTGGAGCTGCATTTCACCTCCTATTATTAATAGTCTCTAGATAATAATAAATTCTGACTTTTTCCATTTAGTGGAGGAATCATAATAAACACAGTCAGATAAACAAAAGTAAAATGCCATTTAAACAAAACAAAAAAATCACTGTCAGTGATCGCAGATGGGCTAACATTAGGCCCGGCTGCTGCGGACGGGCTAACATTAGCCCTGGATGCCGCGGCCGGGCTAATGTTAGCCCGGGACTGCAAGGTCCCTCGTGTGGCTTGTAGAATGCCTGTTTACTGAGTAAAATTATTAGATTTTTTATAGGCTTATTTAATTTTCAGGCTAATTTGAATGTACTTGAATTTGTTTGCAGTTTTTTTTTTATATTTTGAAAAGTTTTAATTTAATTAATTGAATTTAAATAAAAAATACTTGACTTGAAAGGATTCAGATATTCATTTACAAGGTTTGGTGAGGTTTTGTTCCAAATCTTAATAGATTCATTGCCAAAAGATTTTCCAATGTAAAAAAGAAGTGTCCCTATAACTATGTAGGGCCAGTGCTAGCCATGCTAACTATGTAGGGGCAGTGATAGCCATGCTAACT